GAAATATCACTGTTTACAAGATATATGGTATATATTGTTTTTAACTTTAAGTTTTAAAATCCGCATATGAAATATTGCACACTGATATATACTTCTTGCCCTTTTGATATCCTTTTTTTCCCACCATTTCGGCTCTTTGTTTTGAGCCTGTTATGAACTGGAACATGAACTGAAAAACGACGATAGCAAGGACTTCATTGCCCATCACCATAGCGGTCCGCAACCGGAAATGACAGTTACAAACGCAATGAACTATGGGAGATGTAGTAACATCGAACCGGAAGTGACGCGACGCTAGTTTGGGCGCATCACGGCAAATCACCGCGGACCGGCAAAAAGGGAACTTTTGGCGGGTAAAGAAAGATTTAAAAGCAATGGAAGACAGAAGACGTCCTGAAGCTGACTGAGGAAGCCGATTTTCGGTGAAACGCGTTTTGGCTGCAAGTGGATTTATGCTACACCACTGAATACATTAGTATTACTTATATGTTTTTATATAACCCCTTTTTTTGTTTTTATATATAGTCTGTATATTTTAATACTGATAATAAACATATTTGCTATATATTATACCTATTGCATCCTGCACAAGTGATTCAAGAAAGGGATAGTGTCACCCTATAATTTGACACTGAACCTACATACTTAGAGCCAGTTATAAAAAGGCTCTTAAAAAGACGGTCCATCATTGAGAGAGAGGGGTTGTGTGGTCTACCCAAAAGACACAGACGTTTGGAAGTTTAGAGCCTTACCACTGTAAAAGGCTCTAAAAAATGTGAGTTAATTTACATTCGAACTCACATATATAATTGAAATTGATTCTTTAGACATATTGCACTATTATTTGTATATATCTGTTTTTTTCCCTTTATATATGTATACGGAAATACGAGCATTGTATAGATGGTAAGTGCTTTCTGGCACTACATATATATATTCACAATATTTAAATTTACACTGAAGCGCTTCACTCACGGGAATTGAGGATTTAAAGGGATAGACACCTGATAAATCTGTAAATTTCCTCCATTGTTTTTGGTGATAAACATATACAAGCCCAATGCTCATACATTTAGGTGCAAATATCTGATATAGGCACATTACATATGGTAATTAACATTTCCTTGCAGTGAGGTGCGGGGAGAGAGGGGACTTCTCTAGGTCACTTCATGCCCCCCCAAAAAACAGTATTAAAAAAATGTCATTTCAGAAGATAATCACCCCTGACCCCTAATAATTAAAACATTTCTTATCACCCAAAAGAGTTTGAATTTAAAAAACATTGTATTATAACACAAAGTTCAATTCTGATAAAAGTACAGCAACCATAAATATGTAAATATCAATCTCAGTGAAAAATAATAACAGGTGCGCAACTGCGCAACAATTGAATCAAAATAATAAAAAACATCCTTGTTACCATCATGTGAACTTTCCCTTCCTTCTGGCAATCTGTTTTAGTAACGGCTGGCTCCCAGAGATGTTTCACCATGGGCTGGGCTGTGTGACAGTATTTGGTGTTGGAAGTTTTTGAACTGTGTTTTTTTTGTATATCTGACACCTATTGTGGGTCCCCAGATGTCTCTTATGTCTAAGGCATCCTGTGCCCATTATAGGTGCATGGTGTGTATTATAGTTATGTGATTAGTCAAATATTCTGTGTGCTAGTTCTTTTGGGAACCTTGTATCCTGTGTGGTTTGTTCAGGGTATACAGTAGCAGATTTTTCAGACCTGTTTCCTGGCTGCAAAAGTATTTGGTCCTAGAGCAAGGCAAGAGAGGTGCAAGTGTCTTTGTAAAGGCAGTAGTTGAATGTAGCACAGGTAGAGTGACTGATACCTGCCTGGAAAAATGAGGCACTGGTGTAGGGGTCAATACCTGCCTGGGAGAAGGAAGTAGAAGCAGAAGGGCTGATACCTGCCTGGAAGAATGAGACACAGATGTAGGGGTTAATACCTGCCTGGTAGAAGGAGACAGATGGGTCTACACCTGTCTGGAAGAAAGAGGCACAGGCAGAGGGTCGATACCTGCATATTAGAAGGAGGCATAGGCAGAGGGGTTGATACCTGTCTGGAAGAAGGAGGCACAGTCAGAGTGGTCGATACCTGTCTGGAAGAAGGAGGCACAGTCAGAGTGGTCGATACCTGTCTGGAAGGATGAGGCACAGATGTAGGGGTTAATACCTGCCTGATAGAAGGGGACAGAGAGGTCTACACCTGTCTGGAAGAAGGAGGCACAGGCAGAGGGTCGATACCTGCATAGGAGAAGGAGGCATAGACAGAGGTGTTGATATCTGTCTGGAGGAAGGAGGCACATCTAGAGGGGTCGATACCTGTCTGGAAGAAGGCGGCAAAGTCAGAGGGGTCGATACCTGTCTGGAAGAAGGAGGCACAGTCAGTAGGGTTGAAACCTTTCTGGAAGAAGGAGGAACAGTCAGAGGAGTCGATACCTGTCTGGAAGGAGGCACAGTCAGAGAAGTTGATGCCTTTCTGGAAGAAGGAGGCACAGTCAGAGAAGTTGATGCATACTTAACTGTGAAAATAACAAGATATAGCAAAGTGTGATATATCAAGAACACACGTCCCATGTCAAATTAGAATGCACTCAAAGAGAATATCAATAAGCTATTTTTTAATAAAGCCTTTTTTTCTTACAACCTTCCTGGAGTCCTTGACTAAAGAAATTAAAACTTTTTGCCAATACCCATCCAAGATGGAGTGAAGGAGCAGAAGGTTGAATTCCCCCCCCCCCCAAAGCATTGGAGAGGTACCCTTTATGCTGATATATTCTTCCTCGGTGAGTGCATTCTAATTTGGCGTGGGAAGAGTGTCCATGACTATATCACACTACGATATATCTTGGTTTGTTCTAGGTATCAGCTGTATGATCTTGTTATCTGGATACTTAACAATGAACCCTGAAGGTATACGTAGATTGATCACTAAACTCTGCATCTCCCTACCGACTTAAATGTAACCCCCCCCCGTTCACTTTATACTAAAATTGTGCCCTGAAGCTCTCCATGAACCTAACGCTGAACTCTGCAGCTCTCCATGAACCTAACAGCGAACTCCCAGCTCTCCATAGATTGCAGACTCAGCTGGATTTGAAACATATACAGGGTTTATTCACTAAAATGTTACTTTCAGTGAATTCAAAGTGAATTTCACATTTAAGGTCAAAATAACTGAACTGGAAGAAATCTCCCAGCCAGCTCAGCTTTCACTTCAGCTGCTTTGACCTTCAGTTTGACATTCACTGAGAATTTACTGAGAATTCCCTGCAATTCTCACTTCAGTAAACAACCTGATACATGGCCGAAAGGAGACCTGTGCCCATCAAGTTCAGCCTTTCTTACATCTGTTTTTGCTGTTGATCCAAAATAATGCAAAACACTTACTTTGAAGAACTTCCAATTTTCCAATTTTGCAACAAGCTAGGAAATTCTTTCTTGACCCCAGAATAGCAGTCAGATTTCTCATTGGAAAACAAAGCTATTAACCCATAAATTTTAAATGTTTTCTCTGCATATTATGTTTTTGCAAGTGTAAGGACTCTGATAAAACCACTTCTTCAGGCTGAGAATTCTACATCCTTATAGTTCTTACTGTAAAAAAACCTTTTCTTTGCCTTAGACTAAATCTCCTTTCTTCCAGTCTAAATGTGCAACCTCATGCCCTATGTATAGTCCTGTTTATAAATAGATTTCCAGACATTACTATCATATCCCTCCACTGATCTTTTTTTTTTTAAATTCTTTATTTTTGTTGTGCAAGCGTTTACATACAGACTTGCGATACCACGACAGTATTGGCAAGTAGTTCAAGCATCAAACATTGTGTAACTTTGACATGGTATATGGAGTGACTGCACACATTTTTTAAAGTAATATACAACAGGTTAACAATACATGCTGGGTGTATCATGCGATAAGGTAAACATGCTATATCTGAGGAAGGCTAGGACCACGCTGAACTAGTGTGTCTATCATGGTGTGAGACATAACAGATTTATACTGCACGTTTGGCATCTAGACAAGACAATATAATATTAAATCTGCATAGATGCCTAGCACACTGATACTGAAGAATCATGTCAGACACACGTGGTGAAGCCTCTGAGGATACGTTTCAATTATCTTATGCAATGCACGATTAGTACGTTTTAAGTAAGAATTATTGTTTAACATGCTGGCTAGACAAAAGCTTACGTTTTAAGTAGGAATTATTGTTTTACATATTGGCTAGTCAAAAGCTTAGTTAGGACCACTGGAGCTTAGCAGATCGTTCCCATTTAACATATGTAGGAAAGGCAATACTGTAGCAGTGTATAGCAAAGAATACTGGGGCTTAGGCAGCAAGAGGTAAAGTTAAAACTGTAGTCCCTTGTAAAGCCCGCGTAACGTTGGGCTGTGGTTGTCTCTGTGCTGGCCTATAGGATGGGTTAACTTCAGACTTGTGGGCTATGACAGGGAGACATAGAAGTCCTGCTCAATGCACAATGACAGGGATCCACATGCTTTCACAGGTGTCTAGGATACTCATCTGGGTGGCAGTTGGGCTTCTCCTTCCAGGCTTGATCTGTAGCCGAGTGCAGAGCTAACAAGCTTGTTGTTGCTTGGGAAGGGTGGCTGGTAGAAGCATCATGCGGCGTGAGAGCACAGCTCCCCCAGGGGTCGTCGGTTGCGGTCAGAGGGTTAGTAACTCTTTCAGCCCCACTCTTTCCCCTGCTGTGGTAGATGTTTTTGTCCCCAGACTTGCCTTGTTCTAGCTCGGTGATCCTCTCTGCGATCGGCTCTATCATGCTGGCCAGTCGCGCACATGGCTTGCGAGCGGCGGCCATCTTGTGGGGTGCCGCTCGGTAGGTGTTCCACGGCAGAGTGGTTGTTCTGGGCCCGGATTTGTGCCCCAGTGGTTGCCCTTGTAGACCGGGATGACCCCCCCGGTCCAGAGGGGGGGAGGGGAGCCAGACGCCGGCTGGAGACCCGGGAGGGCGGCCGTCCCATCCCGGCTCAAGCTCCGTTCTGCTTCGGGCCCTTGTCGGGTCACTGTTGTTGCCAGGCAGGGTCTTGTGAGGTATCCCCGCGTTCCCCATCAGCTGGGGGTCAGTTTGGTCGCCATTATGGACCGCTGGTTAGGTTTGGCCTCCGGTTTTCGCCGATTTTTCGGCCCTGAAGCGGGAGCTCAGACAAGGCACGTCTGATCCCGTCGGCGGTCAGGCCCCGCCCCCCCCCTCCACTGATCTTGTATGAATGTCAGCTGCCAAACCTTGATGAGCTGTGATTAATTCTCACCAGACAATCATTTTCCTTTCAGACAATTGAATTTCAGTGAATGAACCTGATAGATATTCCTCCCTTTCTATTTAGTGATGTTATTGTTAATATTTTAGCGGGTATGTCTACATTACAATAAGTGTTATTAGTTCTCTATTTTCCTGTCAATGTAACTCACATTATGTGTACTTTCATCTCTGAGATTAAAGAGTTTATACTGTGGGCGGCACACTGGTTTTTAAGGTCTCAATACATGCAGTCTTTTTATAGCTGTGTAATGAAATATATTCTTACGAGGAGAAGTGGACTCCCACGTTGAGTAATGCTCCGTTTACGAAAATCTCTATACGTGAAAGTCACTCGTCCTATGTGCTGAGCTATTTTCCTTATGCTGTGGTTGTGAAATGGTTAATTTATAATCTCAAGATTTTGGTTTCTGTTTGGAAAATCACCATTTACTGTGACAGCATTGAAAAACAGTTCACACTTTAGAGTAGATTGTGTTGCCAGTAGATCGTTTATATTTCTGATATTTTACTATGTTTACAAATATAAACTTTACACCTTTAGCAGTACATATTTATACCAACTTCTGACTGTTAAATAATTGTTATAGCTTGTGTTGCTTCATTTACCAGGTTTCCAGTAGATTGTCATCCTATGTGGTTTACATTGAAGATACATGAAGGTTGGCTCACGTATTGCAGATTTACAGTTTCAATGGTCCATGATGCATTGCGTTGACCAGTTTAATGGGCAGTATATTTTGCAATAGTATTTCACTGTAAGGTGTTTGGTGTAAAACAGGGTCCTCTGATATTGTGTAACTTATTCTTAAAAGGTGCTTACGGTGCCATAATGTGATGTGCCATTGGTAGATTACATTCTAGAGCATTTCTGTATAAAGTGATTGTTGTATTATGCTTATATTGAGTTTACAGATCTCTTACTCACTATTCTTGATGTGTAAAACTAACCACCACTCATGTGCTTTATTTGCCAGAAGAGTCTCTTACCTCAAGATTTGTGGCTTTAGAAACTCCTATAAATCTGTTAGGTACAGCTTTTCTTACCAAAAGAACGTACAACGGATCATGTGGTTTTGAACAATAAGAAAAGCTACATTATAACAGGGAAGGTTTTAAGTAGCTTTTCAAGTATTAGTGGGCGTATGTTCTACAGGCAAATGTATTCACTAAAGCAAGATGTGTAGTGCGTAAAGTGAACTGCTATGCCTTTATTAACACTCCATATTCAAAGTTAATCTACACCTACTGGGCAAAACACTTGCTGGAGCTGGTGTTTCATATTGTGTTGCTTATACGGTTTTCCAACTCACTAATAACACACCCCAATTCATGAATTAATAATTAAATCCCATGTCCTCCATTAATAGGTAAGTAAGAGTCCCTAAACATCCAACTTACATCAAAACTTAACAAATGCACCTTTCTAATTATAAATGATGGAATCTTTCTCTTCTCACGTCTCCCCATGAAGTGATCAGGGGTGGTTCTCCCACACCCCTTATTGCTATGCCCATTGCAAAGCCCTTGCTATGTGATTATGTGATTGTTTTGGAGACGTCTCTGATATATTAAATTTATAACTGTGATTTTTGCACAATCCTCGCTGCTTACTTCTCCAATGGCCAGATTGCCATGTGATTCGATCTTCCTGTCAATTAGACTTGTGCACGATAATAAATGTTGGTTCTGCCAAATCATTTTATCTAAAGATATAAAATTCTTCAAGACACCCAACATTTGGTTGATTGTCACTTCAACTCCGCCATACGGTAACCAAATCCAAAGAACAAACCAAAAGGCTGAAATAAATTAGCCAATTAGCATGCTGCAAAATATATACTTACTACAATTTTATTTATATATTTTTCAGTGCACTGATATATAAATATAATTGTGTACTGATTTTCCTGTTATACAGTGTATATAATATATAAATATAGATTTTATTTTTAACTGTTCCTCTAGTCTTCCCCTCTGTTGCTCACTTCTCACTTGATCTGTGGATAAAATCATCTTGCAGTGACTGGCTCCTATCCATCAATCATCTTTTTTTCTCATGAATCATCTCTTTTTTTGGCCACACAGGTGGAATTCCGAATATTGATTCTCCCCCTGAACATCTTTGACATTTTGCGTTTTGATTAGTTTGTAATTCTGGTACAGTCCAGCTTAGAATTCAGGAATTGGAGTTTGTTCCGAGAGGAATCTCCTACTGTCGATGCTGTATAACTGATACAGAGGGAAAGAGGGAAACACAGTGCTTCACTATAGCCCAGGAAGACGAGAGCAGCATGATGTGTAGAGTATTAAAAATGTATCAATGCTATCTGGTGGAAGGTACATTTTATAGTATTTCTCTTACATTGTACGCGTAGCTGTCAGCTGCTTTGGTACAGGCAGGGCATATCACGAAAAAATTAATTTAACCCTCCCTGGAAAAAAAATCCCCATTCTGTCACCCCAGTAAATTCTATTGAAGTACTAATTGGGGTGAATAGTGTAGAGGACACATTTGACAGTTGCGTTTTAAGATGACGCATGGTAATGGCCAGTGTATTCTATGGTTCTCATCAAGAGCCTTGTTGCACTTTGCAGTGATTGCTCCTTGACAATGCATTCTCCAATGTACTTATTTAGTTTGTTTGTTTGTTTTTTAGAACATTTTATTTTCTAAAGTCATCTTCAAAATTCTTTGGTTCTTTGGACAAGATAATGCATCAACAAATAATTTGTAGTATATATATATATATATATACAGTAAAAAAACAAAAAACATATAATGTTTGTGAAAAACAAAGTTTGATAATGTGACTATACTTAAAATGCTGTGTGTAATGCTGTATGATTGTGTACGGTGAAATATTATCTTCTTATTCTTGCAAACATGGCAGAATATCTTTATAAAAATAACAAATTTAAGATCAAGAAGGAGAAGAGACACAAAATGCAAAGGAAAAAAATGCACATGCTCAGCTCCTGTCATATAACATTAGATATAAAGCAGTTGCCATGAAGGATCCATCTTGGCCTTGTAGCCTCATATGACATAGCCCATCAGGATCAAGACACATATGTACTTTGTGTCAAAACTTGAAAAAAAAAAAAAAAACAAGCCCTGAATCAATACATAGCTGTCAGAATTGATTTTAATGAAAGGTTTTTCCCCAAACGCTGTTACTAAAAAATGAATTAATGCATAGAAATGAACTTTGGATAGTTGGGTAACATATCCAGAATGGTTTGGTTTATCAAGAACCCATGTTGCAGGACGACATTTCAATGGAAAACAATACATTTTGGATTTCAAAAAATAAATAAACGTAGGTATTAAAATTATTATAATCATAATAATTGGAAAAATGGTTGGAAAAAGATCCATTTCATCAAGTCCGACCTTTACTATTTAAAAGAAGGAGAAAACTTGAAGTGATTTCACTCCACCAAAAAATAGAAAAAGCTTTTGTAATGAGAAAGTGAAAATCAGCTCTAAATACAGTGTTCTATAAACTAGTTTCTGAGTGTAAACTCACATTTTGTGGGAGAGCATAAATACCGCTCTACATGAAACATTTTAGAGATGATCTGCAATAGATAGTGCTTTGAATTATTTTTATATTTTTGTATTTATTTTTATAACTTATTTGGAGTATGAAATGTTTCTTTTTTACCATGACTGCTGTCTATGCTCTGTAAATTCGGAATGCATCCCGAAAATGGAGAACGCTCATGACTTCATCTTGGCAGTAATCCTATCCTAGATGGTGTATATAAAATGATCTGTCACAGCCTGACCAACAAACAAGACATACTACTGTATGAATCATTCCCTGCAGGTTAAGTTATCATGTCACTGATTTACCCTCTGGATTTCAAGACATTATGCTGTCTCCAAGTCGATGATTATAGCAATTGTATGACCAGGTTTCACAGAAACCAAATTTCTTCTGACGTGGTCTGTTCTGTAGAGAAATATTGCTTTCCTGATTTTTCTTATAATTATGAGGAAGAAAGAGAGTTTGTTGTTGTAGAGGGCAGATACATTTTTTTTTGAATATTAGTAAGCTGTGAATGTATTTCTTAGTATAGGAGTGAACCTACAAATGTCACATCTAAACCTTGGTTCGTTTTACTCTATTGTATGGATTGCTGGAGCTCTCTCGCAATGTGCCAGGACCCCATCTGCTTACAATCTGGAAATATCAGTAAAATAAGATGAAAACATTTCGTAGCAATATCATTTAATTTATATAAATGTACCAACTTCATCTGCCTATAAAACATTAACTGAGAAGTCCAGCAGTCAGTGGTGTAAAGGTCTGCATTCGTGATCCATTGCTTTGCAATCTGTTCTGTAATAAACAGAACCCTATAGCACTTATCTTTTCCTTGGGGACAAAAGAGATACTAATTTAAACTCTGTGATGGACAGGGCAGCATTCCAGCATAACTCAGGATGTATCAGAAGCGAATATGGGAGCAATGTTACAAATGGAGGAAATATTTTTTTGACATAATTCAAATTCATGAAGAATAGAAGAGCATATTCTCCTAAAAAGTCAAATTGTTACAAGAAAAAAATATGAATATTTCATGATGTGAAAATAAACAAACATAAAAACTCCCTTTTTCTATGCACTAAGGATAAAAGGTAAAAAGAGGAAATGAGGGATCCTGACAGTCTTGTTTTACTGTGAGACAAGAAGTATTATAGGCTGAAAGGAACAGTTATTTTTAGAAAATAAAATAATATACTTTCAGAATACAATATATGATGGAAATGTGTTACATTTCTGTCTTTGGGGGAAGAACTGAGCAACCTAGCTGAATGATCACGCTGACCGTGAGCTATCAGAGTGTATGGGAGTCCAGGAGAACACCACAGGTGAGCATACTCAGAAACTGGCTGCACTGCAGCAGACTGTGTTAGGTCTGCAACAAAAGACCGAAATCTATGACCACCGCTTTGCAGTTATAGAAGACAGGAGGTGCAGAAACAATGTGACATCATGGAAGACATGCCTGCAGCAGAATTGCCACATCTATTGAGGTACCTACTAGTTGTTATCCTGCCTTGGAGACAAGGGAAAGCAGTGGGGCTGAATGGATTATTCCAAGTGCCCAAGTCATTTAAGCTTCAAGCTGCTGCATCTAGAGAACTGGTGGTCCATTTCCGGAGCGGCAGTGACAGGTCCGTGGTCTTTGAGGCAATTAAAGAATGCACACCCTATGACTTTGAATCCATGTCCCTCACCTTTTATACAGATCTCTTGGGAGGTACACTGGCCTGGAGAAGGACGCTACTGCCATCCAGAAAGCATAACATCCAGTACTGCTACAGTTAAACAACTGATAGTGAATAGTGATGTCCCGAACGGTTCGCCGAACGGTTCACCACGGACGGGGAACATATGCGCTGTTCGGTCCGCCCCCTATTCGTCATCATTGAGTAAACTTTGACCCTGTACCTCACAGTCAGCAGACACATTCCAGCCAATCAGCAGATCCTCCCTCCCAGACCTTCCCACCTCCTGGACAGCATCCATTTTACATTCATTGTGAAGCTGCATTCTTAGTGAGCTGTCCAGGAGGTGGGAGGGTCTGGGAGGGAGGGTCTGCTGCTGATTGGCTGGAATGTGTCTGCTGACTGTGAGGTACAGGGTCAAAGTTTACTCAATGATGACATAGGGGGCGGACCGAACAGCGCATATGTTCGCCGTCCGTGGCGAACCATTCGGCGAACCGTTCGGGACATCACTAATAGTGAACAATTATGAGTTTAGTTAATCCATTTTGTTCTGTGAATTTTATAGATGGTATGAGCTACTGGGAGATAAACATAATAAGTGATGGATAGAAAAGTACACAGCCTTCTTCTGGCAAAATATGACCTTTTTCTTAGTAAAGAACTTATGTTTTGGGGTTTAGTTTCAAAATATTAGGCAAAAGTCTAGTGCCTAGCTCAGCACCTAGGAAATATCAATTAATATCATGGGCCTATACATTTATTTAATATATGATAAAGATGTCTGTTTTCTCTATAAACTGGACAAAATCTAGAAAGTAAACTCATACCTCTTTCTATTGGGAAGCATGATGCTCTTGCACTGCACTTGGTGGAGACAGTTCAACATAATATCAGGTCAGTGAGACAGGACACAAAAATAGGGATTGTCCAACCAAAATTGGGAGCCCTGTAAACCAGAACAGATTTCAGCATCCACATCTTTTCTTTACAAGAAATCCCATGACGTTTCATATCACAGACAGTACCGAATAACAGCCAGCATTTCAAATAATAAGTTCTCCACCTACAGTTCCTATTTTTTTTTTTTTAATCTATTGTAGGTGTGTGGTGGCCATGACACTATTTAATACGTGGTCATTCTGTTGAGGAACCAAGCTTGGTATATGAGTAGGGTTGAAAACATTAACCCTTAGGCCAAGGGTAGACAACCTTCGATACTCCAGATATTGTGGACTACATCTCCCATAATGCTCTTAGAGCCATAATGCTTCTAAAGCTTCACAGGAGAAGTAGCCCTCAACATCTGTAGTGTCGAAGGATACCTGCACGTGTCCTAAGTGATTTAGTAGGAGCACGGATTTAATGTATTAATGCTAGAAATCTAGCCCACTACATAATCTAAAGACGCATGGGGCATGAAAATAGCTAATATTGGGACCCCTGGCATGAATGTTTGTATGCTATGGGCAAACCAGGCTTGTGTATTAGCATTGGTGTTTCAAATAATATTGCAGCCTGCAAACAACCCTACAGTTTGCAGAGAGACCTACTCCTTCCTCCTACCTTTCTGATATGAGGCAACCACTGCGTTTTGAGCCCAAGAGGCTTTTGTGTTGTAAGTATTCGTGTGTTTTCAGACCCTCTCTGTAATGAATGAAGTTGTGACCGAGCACATGTTGAAATATATTTCCCTTCTAGGGTGAAGGCCAATGTTGGAGCAAAAGGAAAGCTAAGTAGATCTTAGAGTACATTATATAAATCAAAAGACAGTTTGACTGTGAATACATGGTATTGGGAGGACAGCAGTTTTATGTCTGCATTTATAAGAATCGCAACTTTTTCAGCATAAAAAAAGCATTTTCTAGAAATTTCTAAAAGTTGTCCAGCACTCCCCTGGGGTAAAATGTATACAGTATGAGAGCTTGTTTGAATTTATTCCAGCTTCAGTAACAATGGGAAATGCATCAGAATGAAATCGTTATTTAATATGCAAAACCTCTCCCGCTTTTACCAGGCTGCTAATTAAGCTTAATGTAAGATAATGTTTCACAGACTTAAGACACCCTAGAATGATGGGTTAGTAATGGGACATTATAAGTCTCTTTGATTCTAAATTGCGTTTAGTACAGCATCTTTGATTATTCCCAATACCTTCTGACAAACCTGTAACAGATTAAATGTATCTGGAGATTTTCAAACGAGTTTGAAAATTGCTACACAACTACTCTGGTGTTTTATTGCCCAATCTACCTTGAATATACTTTGTAAAAAATAGCCATTGAAAGTGCTATTAGAATCTCTGCTCTTAATGCATTAAATTGGCTTTATTTGCCGTGTAGATGGAGTCTGTCCTTTTGACTTTATAACTGAGATATGTGCTTTTTATTTTAATAGGATCTGTTTTTCCATACTTTGGTAATATGTTTCAATAATATGCCTCCACGTTCTGCATGTTTTACAAATGAGCTCCATTTAGTCCACTTTACAATCCCTCGGATGTTTGTAATATAAATGTGTAACTGTTTTAAACTGTGTGTCTTCTGTTATAATAGCAATTTGTTTAGTATATAAATAGGAATAAAATAGTGCTTTTACTGTTGAAGGGAAAAATCATAATCATGGTTAAAAAACAAATCTGTTCCATCTCCTTTGTCTAAAGTAGTTCTTTTTTCTGGCCACGTTTCAAAGCCGTCTAATTGTGAAATAAACGGTTCTGAGGGTGGACAGGATTGGAAGGACTGCAGACACTATGATAACTTCAAATTGATGAAGCTGTTAAAGTGCCTACAGTGTCCATTTTAGAAATACACATATATATTCCTGAACACGTTTTTAAGGTTTTTAGGATTTTAAGGCCGTTGAATGAAACTTCAGGTTAATGGGACATTATTAAGATTTTTTTCAAACCCAATATATGACTAAATGTTATGTCACCATAAAAACGTTACTTCCTAGTTACACTTCAGGCAGCATCATTAACCAGCCAAAACAAAGTTCCTGCCTGGCTAATGTCAATTCTGTGCAAAATTGGCGTCTGATGCCAGAATGCACAGCACCCTGGTTCCAATGGCAGCACCACCCCCTTCCATAACGTCCCTGTGCTCCCTTCAGACCATCCCCCTCCCTTCCCTCTCCCTCTGGTGAGGAGGAGAGACATCAGTCAAAGAGGACCAGGCTGAGAGGAGAACTTGTACTCAGTGATGAAACAGAGGGGAGTTTTAACATTTAGTGGACCAGCTCAATAAGGGTTACTCAAACCAAAAACAGTATTTTATGATTAGAGTGACCCTATTAGCTTTCTTGAACTCACATATTGAGGGAAAATTCCCTGTCTATCAGATATCACTGAATTAACTATAAGATTACCTAAGGGTATTCGATTGAGGTCCAACCAGAGCACCCATTAAATTTAAAGGGTACAAGAGGCACGCATGAATTGAGTTAGGAAGGGGAATCTTAATCTAGTTCTTCGATTAATTAGGGGAAAAGGCCTCGCTGCCTGGTTTAACAAGGAGGCCTTATGGGAGGTTAAATAATAACATTTTGGCTTGTTTTTCTATTTGTGTAAACTGTTTTAGTACAATGATTTTTACACCCTGGGTTCCTTTACATTTATCGTCTTACTTTGTTATAAAAAAAAACAAATACAAAAAAACAAACACATTTAAAAGAAAGATCATTGCTGCCAGTGATGTCAGTAACTGATAATCATATATTAAATGAAGTGTTGTCGAAAAATGTTCTAATGTTCCTATTTCATTCCTTTTTTTATGACCTTTAATTCTGTTACAAAGTTATTTGTATCATTTTAGATTTTTTTTTTCTTTTACCAAATAGCTTTGCATCTAGGCTGAATTATTTTCAATTATTTTTAATTACTGCTTTCTCTTCATTTGCAATCTAAACAGTTGCAATTTCAACAACTACCAAACAGAAAAGAAACATTACATTAGGGAAAAATATAAGCGCTAAAGTTTGGAATAGTCCGCCCTTTAATATAAAATCGAAATAGACTCTCTTCAGATTAATTTGTCTCGGTTGCATTTAGTTCATTTTAGCTATTTTAAAATGTAAACCCAGCAGAATAAGTTATTTTGTTTCACGGAAAAAGTTGTTTGTCAGCAAATGTTTACATCGAATGTTTGAGTCTCGTGGCCAATGGACTGTAGCGCAGGCCGCTTCATCATTACTGATATTATTAGTTTGACATTTTTGGTTGTTAATAAAGTCTAAAGGGAAATTTACGGCAGGCCAAGAGATAATCAGTTTAATTAAAAGAGAACCAGCATCAAGCCTTAGATTAATTGAGTTTGAATCAATAATAACGAATAAGTGAGGATTAACTAATTGTGTTCTGTTACAAGTGAGTATTTTGTACAGTAAAAAAAATATCTATGCAGATCTCAGCCATGTAGGGGATTCAAATCTCAGTTTTCAAGTTCTAAGGGAGCAACATTATCACTGCACTAATCAGTCAATATTGATATAAAAATATGAATTTTATAATCACCTTAAAATGGAAATCAGAGTTTTCAAGAGTGATTCCGATAATCCAATATTAAGTAAAAATAAGTCTATATTAAAGTAATAGCATGGGAAATATTGCCACAAAGTCCTGGGCTTTGCTAGAATGCAGCAGGAACTATATATGAATTTAGCTTTTATGTGTGAGAACAGAAAGCATTATTAATCAATGGAACTCTGTAGTTTAGTTTTATTAGAAGTGTTTATTTGCTATCACATTCTACCTTTATCTTATTTTTCTGCTCATATCGTTTATATTTATACCATGCATTATCTGGGCTGTATTTCCCGTGCGGTATAGTAGACACATGCCTGAGGACATCACACCACAAACTGGCACAACTAAAGATTTACGTTGGAAGCAATTTACTGCTGAAGTCCACAGTTCTCTGTAAAAATTTGTTTCTACAGTAACACAATAACACTGTATTTGGAATCCTTCAGAGTAACATAACGTGATTCTCCCGCTTGCCTTAACAGGCACTGTACTCTCCTTTACTTTGTTACTTCAATTGCTCTTCCCTGTGAGCATGATGGGAATTGTAGTTTAAAATATCTGGACTTTCAATGGTAAACGAACCACTAAAAATCACTTATCACTCGTGTTAATGATAATCTGTTTTCTTTTATGTTTTTATTAGATGTTTAGGAAATGACATCATAATCGGTTGCTAAATCGAAAACATAAATAAAGGGTTTTTTGGAAAGCTAGGAATGTCAGAAAGGGATGCGAGGTAAGAGACCGTCTGAAGTTTAAATAGGATATAGCAGACTAGAGAGGAATTTGAAAAAAGATAAGGAGTCCAAAAGGTATGCTAGGAGACTTTGAGAACCAGGAGGTGGCATTAAAGGTTAAGATAAGTAATGATATGGG